ACACACACATACACATACACACACACACACACACACACACACACACACACACACACACACACACACACACACACACACACATAAAGTAAAATAAATTGTGAATAGATATGATATACAATATATACACAGAAATAAAAAAAAGTAAAAGTTTCTAAAACGAAACTTATACAATGACCCAAATGAAGGAATCAAAACAAAAACAAAGCCACAGAAAAGGAAAATAATACAGAAAAGGAAAATAATACAGAAAAGGAAAATAATACAAAAAAAATAGGAAAATAATACAGAAAAGGAAATAATACAAAAAAAGGAAAATAATACAAAAAAGGAAAATAATACAGAAAAGGAAAATAATACAAAAAAGGAAAATAATACAGAAAAGGAAAATAATACAGAAAAGGAAAATAATACAAAAAAGGAAAAATAATAATACAAAAAAAGGAAAATAATATAAGTAGTTCATTCACTCACCACAATCTTCCTCGTCTTCCCCGCCTGGACAGTCCGTCACGTTGTTGCACCATCGGGCGAAGACAATGCACTCCCCCGTCTTGCACCTGAACCGGTTCTCGCAGGTGTCTGTGGTGATGGGGAGAATTTGATGGAAGGAATGTATATATCATATTAACATTTACATCTCTTTTAATCTAGGTGCTCTATGTATTCATCTGTCTATTTATCTATGTGTCTAGCTATGTATCTATCTATTACACACACACACACACACACCACACACACACACACACACACACACACACACACACACACAACACACACACACACACACACACACACACACACCACACAACACACATACACAACACATATATATATATATATATATATATCATATATATACATATATGTAATATATATATTATATTATATATATATATATATATATATATATATATATATATATATATATATATATATATATATATATATAATATATATATATATAATAATAATATATAATACATAATATATATATATTAATATATATATATATATATATATAATATAATGATACAAAAAATCATTGATCAGTATTTCCATCGTTATTATCCCTGTCAAATCACTGTAACATCACAATTTTGTTAATGATGATTGTGATGATATACTATTACTACTACCATTCATAAAACTAAAGGTATTAATGAGAATAATAATGATAAGGTTGATAATAACAGTAATTATATTAACGACTCAAAGTATAATTACTACATTAATGATAATAACGATAGCATTAGCAGTTGCTGAAACCTTAATATGATTATGATGATGATTATGATTATCATTATCATAACCATCATAAACAATATCAACATCATCATCAATATCACTGTCTTTATTTTCTATCATTATCATTTTCGTAATTATCATGACCAGTATCATTATCATCACCATTCTTATGACCACCAGCATTAAAGACATTAAAAAAACATACATCTGAGAATAAACGAGATAACGCATTGCATTAACTTGCAACTTACAGCAATCTTCCTCATCGTCTCCGTCGGGGCAGTGCAATTTTCCGTCACATCGGCCTATATAAGTTAAACAATGGCCACTTTTGCAGAGAAAACCTTCCTTGCATGTCTCTGAAATGTGGAGGATGGTGTTAATTTTTATGGAGAAGGTATGAATGAGATTACCAAATAATTAATTTCCGTTTATTGCGTGTTGAGGTGAATAACTGTGAACGTCTTTTTATGTTTTTTTTTCTTATTTAGGCTTCTCTTTACAGATACTGTCTCTCGCTCTCTCTGTCCCTCTCTCTGTCCCTCTCCTCTCTCCTCTCTGTCCCTCTCCCCCTCTCTCTGTCCCTCTCCCACTTTCTCTGTCCTTCTCCATTTCTCCTTCTTCCTCCCTCGAATAAGTTACGAATGAGAAGGAACAGTAATTCCTCAACGAATTATTTGATTTTACACTTTGACGCAAATCTGGAGATTTTTTTGCAAAGAAATATCATTTGCAATTTTATACATGTAAAATACCAACATTTCTTCATATGAACTACCCATTGTCATTCATATTTTACACATTTTCCACGATGAACACTCTAGCTCCATTTTAAATCTATAATATTCTATAAACTTTATACATCATAAGAACTAAACACACTACTAGTCTCTTTTTTTCTCCGGTAACATAAACAAGTTTCAGTTTTCAGAATTGGAATGTATTCCTTTTGTCATTAGGCACAACTATTTTCATTTCTCTAAACACACAAAAGCATTGACTCTGAACCTATTTTTCATCTACTAGCAACATAAACATACATTTCGTTATCAATCATGCGTCTTTATTAATGCTTATACACATGCATATATATGTCTATGTATGTAGATAGATAGACATACAGATGTAGGCAGATAGACACAGATAGATAGACAAATATCGATAGATAGATGGAAAGAAAAAGATAGATAGATAGATAGATAGATAGACAGAGATAGATGGACAGATAAATAGATAGAAAATAGACTCACCACAGTCTATCTCGTCTTCTCCTTCAGGGCAGTCCTCGTATCCGTTGCAACGCTCGCTAATGGCTTTGCATTGCTTATCATTGCAGAGAAACCCATTCGTGCAATATTCTGTGGAAATGTACAATATGCGATAGGAATATAGGAATAAACAAACGTACGAATGCAAATAAACGTTTGGAAATATGAATTTGGGGGGGTTATGTGTATTCTTTTTCTTTTTTTTCTCTCCCTTTAAATCTTGTTGCAGTCAGTCACTCTTTCTCTTTCTCTTTCGCTCTTTTATTTTCCCCCTCCTTTCCCTTTCCTTCCCCTTCCCTTCTCCCTCTCACTCTCACCCCCTCCCTTCCCTTCCCCATCCACTTTACCTTCCTCATTCCCATTCCTGCCCCCCTCCCCTTCCCCTTTACCTTCCTCATTCCCATTCTGCCCTCCTCCCTTCCCCTTTACCTTCCTCATTCCCATTCCTGCCCCCTCCCCTTCCCCTTTACCTTCCTCATTCCCATTCCTGTCCCCTCCCCTTCCCCTTTACCTTCCTCATCCCATTCCTGTCCCCTCCCTTTTACCTTTCTCTTTCCATTCCGCCCCTTTCCTTCTTACCACAATCCTTCTCATCCTCCCCATTTGGACATCCTTCAAAGGTGTCGCAGCGGAAATAAGAAGGAATGCATCCTCCTGTGCCACACTGGAAGCCTTTGCAACGATCTGAAATAGAGGTGCAAGGAAATGTGTTAATCGTCGTGGAATTCAGTGACTTACAAACCATTAAGAATACTGAGTTGTGTGTGTGTGTGTGTGTGTGTGTGTGTGTGTGTGTGTGTGTGTGTGTGTGTGTGTGTGTGTGTGTGTGTGTGTGTGTGTGTGTGTGTGTGTGTGTGTGTGTGTGTGTGTGTGTGTGTGTGTGTGTGTGTGTGTCACATAAGACAAATTTGTTTTTGTTTGAAAGTTAACAGTAGACAAATTTACGTTCTATGCTAAATTCACAATAAAAAACCTCACATTTGCTTATAAACTAAAATCACAATGCATAAATCTGAAGAGAAGGAGCGTGACTTATTGCCATATACCGCAATTCGATTCGTCTTCTCCTCCCGGGCAGTCCGTAATGTTGTTGCAAACAGCTGACTGGTCAATGCATGATCCTGTCATGCAGAAGAAACGTCCCTGGCATTCATCTGCGGGTGAAGATGTTGCAAAGGTTAAATTCTATCGAAATATGTTGAAAATTCAGAAAATTAGGTTTAGATTAACATAAATGTGAAGAAAGGGTGAAAATAACAAAACAAAGACAAATTGCACTTTCTCCACTGCTGACTTATCTCCCTCTGCCTTCTGTTTATCTCTGCCTTCTCTGTCTGTCTGTCTGTCTCTCCTTGTACCGCCCACCACTTTAATTACTACTATTCCCATCCTTACTCTCGTGCCTAAGAAGGCACTTCTCTGTCTTTAACTTTCCTGCCTTCCTTCCGACTATCCTTTAATGCCTTCTTCCCTCCTCTCTCTCCTACATTCCTTCCTTCCGTCCATGCCTTCTTCCCTTTTCTCTCTCCTACTTTCCTACCTTCCTCTCGTCTTTCCTTCCATCTCACCCTCTATCCTCTTTCCCTACACCTCTCCCCCCATCCTCTTTCCCTCTATTTAATCCCCTCAAACACACCCAAAAAATAAAAACACATAAAAACACAAAAAAATCACCAACACACACACAACTCACCACAGCCTTCCTCGTCCTCTCCTCCAGGGCAGTCGTCCATCAGATCACACCTGTAGTGCTTGGGGAAGCATTCACCTGTTGAGCAGAGGAACCCCCCCTCGCACGTCGCTGCGGTAAAGAAAACGGGTAAGGACTTGTGGATTCCAAATGCGGTGAAAGGGGAATTTGGAATTTATCAAACTTTCGCTATGTTTATATGTGTTTAATGTATGTTAATATGTGTTTTTAATGTATGAGATGGACCGGAATAGTTTAGGATAGATTACTTGGTTAGGTAGAAATGGCAAACTACGTTATTTCAATGACGTGTGTGTGTCTGCGTGTGTGTGTCTGCGTGTGTGCCTGCGTGCGCTTGTATGCGTGTCCATATCTGCATGTGCGTGTGTCCTCCCTCCCTCCCTATCTTCCCTCTCCCTCCCTTTCTCCCATCTCCCCCCCTTTCCCTCTCCCGCTATCTTCCCTCTCCTCCCTTTCTCCCATCTTCCCTCTCCGCTCGTCTCCATCATCCGGGCAATCCTTACTCGTGTCGCACCGCTGTCGGGAGTGAAGGCATTTCCCCGAACTGCAAAGGAAGCCCTCGGTGCACGTGTCTGGGGAAAGGGGGTCAGTTGCCAATTCGTTGTTTTTTTTCTCTTCATAAAGTTGTTCGAATTCACAAATCGTTAATTGATTATGGAAACAGGCGTGGTTCAGTTGCATAATGTATCGTGGACTGATGATAGGGGTGACTCACTCAAATATGATGATGATGATGATGATGATGATGATGATGATGATGATGATGATGATGATGGATGATGATGATGATGATGATGATGTGATGTGATGATGATGATGGTGGTGGTGATGATGATGATTGTGGTGGTAATGGTGATGATGGTGATAATGATGACGATGATAAGAATAAAAACTAAATAAAACAGCAACAATAATAATAAAATGAACTGGAAATACAAATGTGTAAATGTTGAAACTGAAATATACGACAGAACAGCAACTCGAACAATAAACGACGTAACAAAAAATAAATTATATCTCAAGAAACAAGTAACAAAATAATATAAATAACTGGGTAAATTCTAGAAAACCCATATAAAATCACCATAACCAGAATTAAAAAAGAAAAAAGGTTTTAAAAAATCAACACATCCAAATCAAAACAAAATCGAATCGCTAACCGCAGGCGGCCTCGTCCTCGCCGCCCGGGCACTCCGACTCTCCGTTGCAGAAGGAAGAGACCTCGAGACACGCCCCCGAGTTGCAAAGGAAGCCGTCCTTGCAATCTGTCAGGAGACGTTAGAGTAAATGGAGGATATAAGGGAGAGGGACGAAGGAATTGTTTTGAGAAGTTAAGAAGCGCGAAGACAGACTGAGACAATATAATTGCTCGCCTGTTTGATGTGCTCCTCTTCGTCTACAATAATAATAATAATAATGTTAGATTTACTGTTATCTTTTAAACAGATCAACCAGGCGCAATGAGACCGTGAAGCAATGCCTTCATTTACATGTCTTCATTTACATATTCCAAGCTAGTTTTCATATAATAGATCGAATATTTTCATTTGCAAATACATTTCGGGATGAACATTAGCAAGCACAAAGCCTTGCGGTAACGATCCACAATGCAAAATCAACTCATTTCACAAATCATTCCTTGCGGTAACAATACACACTCCAGAATCATGTCCTTTCACAAATCACTCAAGAACATCCACGTAAATTCATCCTTCTTCTTCTTCTTCTCATCTTTCTCCTATTTCTATATGGGGTCGCCGTTATGGATGTACCGCTCTATTACAGTTCATTCCATATACTGGTTTTGACATACGTTTTTACAGTCGGATGCCCTTCCTGACACTAACCCTCTCTATTTATCCGGGCTTGGGACAGGCACCCACTAAGGCTGGCTTGCCTCCCAGGTGGTTTTTACAATGGGCAATCAAAGTTCCTTGCCCAGGGGAACAACGCGCCAGTCGGGGGACTCGAACCCTCGAACCTAGATTTGTCGACGGATCCGAAGTCCTATGCTCTAACCACTCGGCCACCACGCCCTATCCGCTACCACACCCTATCCACGTAAATTCATTATTCATCATGTAATTCATCAACGTTGAGTAATCCTGCCGGACTCACCGCATTCTTCCTCGTCCTCTCCGCCCGGGCACCGCTTCGTCCCGTTGCACCGGACGTCGGAGGGTAGACACTCGCCCGTCTTGCACAGGTAGCCTTGGCATGTCTCTGTGGGAGTGCAAGATTTGCGTTTTACTTAGAAATATAGATAGATAGGTAGGGGGATTGATTGATAAATAGATAGATAGATAATTATAGAGATAGTCAGAGACATAGGTAGGTAGAGATATTACACAAAAAGACAGATAGATAGATAAATAGATAGATAGATAGACAGAGACAGATAGGTAGGAAGAGATATTACACAAAATGACAGATAGATAGATAAATAGATAGATAGACAGACAGAGACATAGGTAAGCAGAGATGTTACACAAAAAGACAGATAGATAGATAAATAGACAGATAGACAGAGAGAGACATAGGTAGGCAGAGACGTCACACAAAAACAGCACTCACCACACGCCAGTTCGTCCTCTCCCTCGGGACAATCCGCCTCTGCATTGCACGTCAGGTAGAAGGGCACACATTCTCCAGTGTTGCAGAGGAACCCGTCCTTGCAAGAGTCTGCGAAATAATTACTCCTTTACGATGATCTGCCATAAGGGTCTATTTTGGGCGTAGAGAGGAAACGGCCGAAAATGTACGTTTTTAGGAGTGACTATCATTTTTTTTTCTCTTTTTATTTTTCCTTTCTTTTAATGCTTCTGTAAAGGTGTTCGTGTACCTATTGTTATAGTAATCGTTTGTGTGCGTGTGCGTGCGTGTGTGTGTGTGTGTGTGTGTGTGTGTGTGTGTGTGTGTGTGTGTGTGTGTGTGTGTGTGTGTGTGTGTGTGTGTGTGTGTGTGTGTGTGTGTGTGTGTGTGTGTCCGTGTCCGTGTGCGTGTGCGTACGTGTCCGTGTGCATGCGTGTCCGTGTGCATGCGTGTCCGCGTGCGTGTACATATGTATCTATTCACTTCTCAGTTCATCTACTTCTTGACCTATTCAATTCATTCAATATTTAGGCGACTCACCACATCCTCCTTCGTCGTCGCCTTCAGGACAATCCTTCACGGCGTCACAGCGCTGGTACGAAGGAATGCACTCCCCTGTCCTGCACTCGTATCCCTCGCCGCAGGTCACTGGGGAAGACGCCCGTTTTGTGATTGTAACTGAGT